AAGTCATTGTGCTACATGATTTTATCCTCCAGGCATGGTTGCAACCAATGAATCCATGAAGCACCTTAAAAGCAGCAGTCTTAATTCTAGCTCATCCATAAGCCTCTTTCATATGATTGTGGAGAACATTGTTATAGATGTTAACTCAAATGAATGGCTGCATCCATCAGCATGAGTACTTAGTCATAAATAGTGACACTGTGAAAAGTCTGCTTATTAGGCTTTTTATAGCCAGAAAGCTGGTAGTCAGAATTTTATGCTAAAGTATATTTGGCAATAGACTACATCATTTACTGAATGAAAAGGTTTGATTCATACAAAAATATCACAGAAATAAATCAGATCACTTAGAACAGTCTACCAATCAGTGCAAGATATCATAAGTATTATAAAATGCTTTGTACGGTTGAATTTTGATTATATAAACTATGATATCCCTGTTCTGACAGAATATTCCCCACTATACCTTCAATCTCACTCTTGGGAAATGTTAAGCTATATTCATTTTAAATTTCTCTAGTTTTTTGCTCCTTTTGCTCCTCTGGAGTTCCCTACACAATTTCTCTGGCACCTTGATACTTACACTCTCCTAATTCTTGTAGACAGTTACTTCCACTTTTGCATTTTGAAAACCAAATAGCCTTGCTTCTGTTGTATGGTACCATAGTCCTTGAAGCAGTCAATGTCAGTGGAGCAAACTGTTAAAGTACTTACTACTACACTTGAGTAAAAGTATCCAAACCTTTTCCTTAAAAAGTGTTTTGATGACTCCATTTTAAACATTTTCCTATCCCAAGTGAATAACACATGATATTAGCTGTATTCAAGAAGATATTTAATAAATATATTATGAGGTACTTTTAATCTACTTTCTGGCTAGATTTTTAAGCTTTCATCTTTGTAATGCAACTAGAGCAATGCAGCACCACATTTGCAACTATAGTTTATTTTTATTATTCCATTTCTAAAAATGAGGTATATCATCAGCTGTAACAATCTTATCTCTTTAAAGGAAAGAGAACTTTACTTTGGAATTTGAGATGGGTGGTGATACAGTATGCAGTTAAATCAAATTATTATGACCCTGAACATGAATTCTGTACTACTATATACAAAAACCAAGCCAACTAACAAGCAAAACAAATTTTAAAACAACTACAGCCAAATAGCAAATCTCAGAAATAAGAACCATTGTTTCACATTGCCATTTCAATTTATTATCTTAAAAAAAACAAAAAACAAAACACTGTTTCATTTTATGGATGCATTTACATTTTTCAACTGTCAGTGAAAGCTTCATTCTCCACCAGCCAGCCATATGTTCCAATTTTGGAGAAAAGTTATAATCTCCTTCATTGTAAGTGCTGTGGGAAATTTCCAGTCCTTTCTCTATCCCTATCAGTCTGGCTACATGCATTTAGCCAAAATGAACATCTGAGTGGAAGGGAAAAAAAAGTACCAAGGCTATATAATTGAACATGGTTCATCCATTTTCAGAATATACTGAATGCTGGTTGCTTGATTTAAGAAGAACTGGTGTGGAATTTATTATGAAGACATAGACAAATCCACAATAAGCTTTGTTTTCTTCTCAGTGTTCTCTTTTCATCTCATCTCTGGGTCTCCTATGCTATTTTTTTATGCTCAAGCAATGGTATTGATTACTGTTAAACAGGGATACAGTTGTTCCATTCCCCATGGAAAAACAGAGAAAAATGTTTATTTTCCCTTTTAACAGAGAAAAAGGAAGATTTTTCTTTTAACGTAGAAACATGTGGATTTTCCACTTTTGCCAAGAGCTCTCTGCACATCTTGCAAAAAGGGCAAACCCTAAGCCCTGTCCTGAGGGAGAGGGAGGGGGGAAGAGGCAGAGCCTGAGACTCTCAAGTCAGCCAGAGCTTGGTTCAGGCTCACTTTCCCTCTTGGAGCCTTTGGGATAAGTGGGACTTACAGGGAGCTGGGTGCCAGATGGGTGCCCCCTCTGGGGGTGCTGGGGGAGTGGTTAGAGGCTGTAGGTTGGGTATGGGGGCACCAGCAAGTCCCCTGTTGGTCAGGTGTGAGAGTTGGTGATTGCCAGGGCTGGGGGGGGGGGGGGGGGGGTTCCAGTGGGAAGCCACACATGGAGGCACAGAGCCCGTCCACCCCGATGGTGCACAGCTCCCACCTGCAGTGCCACGATGCATGTGCTGGCATGGAGCAGTCTGATGCAAAGGCATGCATCAGTGGGCCAGGCCAACTCTCTGCCAATGTGTACAGGCCCTGGGTCTCAGCCTGAGGCACATGCTACTGGGGGCTCTGCCTGATGTGGCCATGAGTGCCTTGAGGGCCCACCACCTGCTGTTGCTTAGCCACCGGAGGTGGGGGTTGTATACCACAAACCCCATACACAGACCCCTGCACAAACCCCACATACTCCCATACCCCCATCTCCCATAAACCCCACACCTCTACCCCACTGCATCCTGGTGCATGGGGGGAGCTGCTGCCAGGAGGGAGGGAGTGGTGGGGCAGGCAGGGAGTGAGGGGCACTGGCAGGGCTGGGGGGTTTGTGGCTTGAGAGTGAGGGGCAAAACAATATCAGGACTTCTCAGCACCATAAAGCATTTCAACCACAGCTGGACCCATGTGCGTTGGGCAGCAGGAGCTCTGTTTTTTTCATGTTGAAAAACCCAAAATCAAATGCCAAAATATACAGGTATTTAGAATTTATTTTAGTACAGTGATTGAGGTACTGGTAGGTTTCCAAACTGCTTTAAAACTGTAATATATCAATAAAACATAGTATTCAACTGATACCTATATCTATAGATATAGTGGCTTTTCATTTTAATCATGTATTTTGAGGTTTTAATTAGAGAATTTGTGATTTTTAAACAAGAAAACCAGGATCCCTGCTAATGAATGATACACAACATTGAACCATCAACCCTGGTGAAAACCTTAGCTTGTCCACAATATCTGGCCCAAGCTTTTGGGGTTCTTTATGAATTGAGCCTCAAATGATGTAGGCTTGCAGGTAAGCTCTGCTTGCTGGTATAAAATGTAGACAATCCACACTGTTTTCCATCACAACCTGTACTTATCTGAATAAGATATAGGCTAAAAAGCTACAATAAAATTTGAGCTTCAAATATTTTTAAATGTTCTAATTTCATTTTGATGACAGCTTTTGTGTTTCAATATTAGTTTACATTTGTTTTTTCACTGTTGTGTACTCTGAAATAACACCACTAGGATGAAAAGTTGTCTCTGAAACTGAATGATGTTGTACCTTACAAATTTTGAAAATCTTGAAAGTTCCTAATTCCAGAACAGTAAAATAAACCTGAGAAACTATAATTTTATTGTAAATACACTGAGCATTTGCTCTTTATTGGTTTCACAATTTTATCTCATGGAACAAACTGAAGTCTGCTTTAAAATGCAATTTAAAATATTTTGCTGAGAATCAAATACACCTCTACCTCATTCTGGAGGTCTCTGATCATTTTGCTCTTCCTCTCCATTTCTGTCTTCAGAAAATTTATCTGGAAATTAAAAAAAAAATACAGCCCAATGTGAATTTTTAAAGTATGGTACAAATGCAACATCATTTAATTGCCATTGTTAGTTTTATTTTCTCCTTCAACATTTTCTTAGGCAATGTGAAAAAGCCACTAGTCATACTTTTTCTTAGAAGAAAGATATAGCCATGAAACTATAGGCTGTTCACAGATCACAGTTTTGTATCTGTTGAATAATCTGTAATAAAGTGCATCTACAATCTACAAGTAGCTAGATAATTTTCTAAAAAGCCAGGTTAAAAAAAGCTTATTATATATGAAACACTTTAGAGTTCTAGTTTTGTATTTTTTGTAGTGCATACAGGACTTTTGTTTTTTACAGTGAAGTTGAGGGTGATCTTCAGAGAAATAGAGTTTTGGAACAATAAATTACCTGATTTTATAATCTTGCACCTGTTCAGAACTCTCCTGTATGCCATCTCCTGCATATTAATACATCTGTTGCAGCCACATTCTAGTAACCTACTATGAATCTGACAACACTGAAGCCAAGGTTCTGATGTCACTAGGACACTTCATGCAACAAAGTGTAGTATAAATGAAAGTATCTGAAGTTAGTCTATAGTTTATGAGAATTTCAAGTTCATCTTGCATAACTAGGTGTTTGAGTCTGAGTTTCTAGGATGCATGCAATTAAAAAAAAAGATTAATTGCTTTATAAAAGTCAATTTGTAATGGTTTTAAAGGAGTTGGATTGTATGCGATTCCTTTCAGGGTCAGATTGCTAACAGAGGCATGTATTTAGAATATAGTGGTACCTTTTTAGACTCAAACTACCCCTTGTTAGACTCAAAGACACATTAGGCTCAAAGCACCTCTCAGAAAAATGCCAGTTTTTAATCTTTCACATTTTTTTGACTACAGAATAACCAAAAAGTAATTCTTCTGTTACAAAGAACTAAAAAAAGACCACAACAGGTTAGAGTGTTTTTAACCCTATAGATTCCTATTTCAAATCTCTGGCCTTAGCTTGTGAATCATGTATAAATGTTCACAAACCTAAGAGTATTTACATTGAGCAGCAACTCTAAAAAGGATCTCCTGGCACCCCAGTTCAGAGTCACCGATTTAGAACAATTATACATGAATAAATCCTTTTTTACAAGCACGATAGTTATTCACATATTTGAAAATAGAACATCTCTCTTTGCTCTCTAAAACAGCTGCCTTCAGAGAACACTTTTAATTTCACTTTTAATTTAATTTTAATTATTCAGAAAACAGTACTTATAAATTAATTGTGGCAAAACTGGCTGCCTTAAGCACCAGCTAATAGCATATAGAGTCTTCCACACCTTAATCAAGGGCCTGAATGTTATTCAGATCAGAAAGTGACAGAAAGTCCTTACGATATGACAGTTACACTCACTGGGTTGTGTCCACTTCCAAGTAGACAGATGTCAGTAATTTAAAAACCATCACCAGACTTGGCATTGTTAACAAGGCCAGCAGAGAAGCCAATTAACTATCTTATTACTTAATGGGTAAAAGGGGAGAGGCATGTCAGATCAGGGTTGATTGGCAGTCACATAAGGAACCATTGCTGTACAATTCTGTGCCTGAAGGGCTTGATAGTGGAAAATGCTGACTACCTTTATACTCATTGATTTTAATAGGAGTTGAAGACTTTCAGCAACTCACTGATAATTAGAGTATTCAAACACAGAATTTTAATCTACAAGACATTCAGCCAGATATTTTTGGACACCACTAAATTACTTCAGAAAGTCACCCTGACTCTGTATGTGTAAGAGGATAAAAGTGGCTGTTTAGATGCAGCGTGTTATCTGTTCAAAGGATAGTTAAGAGTGACAAAAAAGATGATTTCCATTGACATCAGCTCTATTTTTTAGTCATTATCCTCAAAAGAAAATCCTTGGGCTTTGGTTTGGGTTGGTTTTTTTTGCCCTCCCCCCCCAGTCATTTCTAGTGTTGAAATGTCTAAAATAATGACACATGGTAATGAAAATGCTCTCCTATGTTATCTCTATTTCTGGCTTTCTCTGTCAGTTGAAATTTACATCACAGATACCTTTGTACCTCTTTATAGGGGGTCATTTCACACATACCTAGTGGACTCCAAGATGAACATGAGTTGGCAGTGTGATGAAGCCATCACAAAAGCTAAGGGCACTTTATCATGCATCGGCAGATGTATGACGAATAGATCCAAAGAGGTGATTCTTCCCCTCTATCGGGCGCTGGTCAGACCGCAGTTGGAGTACTGCGTGCAGTTCTGGGCACCGCACTTCAAGAGGGATGCGGATAGCCTGGAGAGGGTCCAGAGAGGGGCCACTCATATGGTTAAGGGCTTGCAGACCAAGCCCTGTGAGGAGAGACTAGAGAGCCTGGACCTTTTCAGCCTCCACAAGAGAGGGTTGAGGGGCGACCTTGTGGCTGCCTGTAAGTTCATCACGGGGGCACAGAAGGGAATTGGTGAGTATTTGTTCACCAAGGCGCCCCCGGGGCTTACGAGAAATAATGGCCACAAGCTAGCAGAGAGCAGACTTAGACTGGACATTAGGAAGAACTTCTTCGCGGTTCGAGTGGCCAGGGTCTGGAGCGGGCTCCCAGGGGAGGTGGTGATCTCTCCTGCCCTGGGGGTCTTCAGGAGGAGGTTGGATGTGCGTCTGGCTGGGGTCATCTGGACCCAGCACTCT